CTCACCCATGTTTATATCATCATAAGTGATTCTTGCTTATTTTATTATTTATTCAAGTTACATCAAATTGTTCTATCCAAAAAAAAATCTAACTCCATAGAAATTGTTGGTATTATTGCAAATTTGTATATTTGGTAATTTCTTATGTTTTTTCATTAATGACAACACGAATGATTATATTTATATTCGTTACATCAAATAAAGTTAAGTTTTTTCTTCTTCTAAAGATAGTTACGACTGTTAAAGATACATATAATATAAAAACACTTATATGTTCTTATAGATATTTGCATATTTCATATATGTCACCCCATTAGTATTAATTTTTATAAAATCAGTTAATACTAATATGTGCAATTCATAGGGAAAACAAATATGATATTTTCAAGCAACAGATATGTAAAATCTCATGATCCATTTGGACTATCATCTTATAAATCATGCCGTATTATTTCTTACGGATCAATTCAATTTTTTTTTATTTGGATTTAAATATTATCATTGGTAAATTACATCAGATTTTATAAATGTAAAATGATGAAATATTATTATTATTATTATATTATTACATCAGATTTCCTGCAGGTCCTCTGCCTCCAAGACAACCGCCTCAACGGCTCCATACCCTCACAGTTCGGCTGTCTGCTCTCCCTCCAGCAGTTCCGTATCGGCGGCAACCCCTACCTCACTGGCCAGCTCCCGCCGCAGCTCGGCCTGCTGACCAACCTCACCACCTTCGGCGCCGCCGCCACCGGCCTCTCTGGCGCAATCCCAGTGGAGTTTGGCAACCTGGTGAGCCTCCAGACCTTGGCTCTCTACAACACCGACATCTCCGCCCCGGTGCCGCCGGAGTTGGGCTCGTGCTCGGAGTTGACGAGCCTTTACCTGCTCATGAGCAAGATCACAGGCACGATCCCCCCTGAACTGGGCAAGCTGCAGAAGCTCACCAGCCTGCTCTTGTGGGGAAACTCGCTCACGGGACTAATCCCCGGTGAGCTTGCCAACTGCTCGGAGCTGGCGGTGCTTGACCTCTCTGCTAACAAGCTCTATGGGGAAATCCCCGGCGAGCTTGCGAGGTTGGTGGTCTTGGAACAACTTCATCTTTCTGACAACATGTTCTAAGCGGGCGAAGTGCCATCCAGAGAACAACTGGTGACGGTCTTCACATAGTAGAGTGGGTGAGGAAAAAAATGAGTAGCTTTGAACCTGCACTGAAAATATTGGATTCGAAGCTACAAGGAATGCCTGATCAGATGGTGCAAGAAATGCTTCGGGCACTGGGGATCGCCATGCTGTGTGTGAACTCAGCCCCATCGGATCGGCCCACCATGAAAGAGGTGGTGGCATTGCTGATGGAAGTGAAGAGCCCACCTGAAGAATGGGGAAGGACTTCACAACAGCCTCTTATAAAGCCTGTGATTCATGGATAATAGGTTGTCTTCTGTTCATCTCTCTCTCTTATAAAGCCTGTGATTCATGGATGATTGATCTATGATTAAATTGGAGACGAATTGGGATGCTTCTCATGATAGTTGCAATGCTAATTCTATGCTTTTACAAAGAGGAAAGAGAGGGTGAATGAGAGTCCAAAGCTTCAGGATTTCAGCGTTTTAAGCGAGAAAAGGTTTCAGTTTGAGGATTTAAAATATAAATTAAATCAAAAATATCTCAAGAGCGAAACGCTCCACCGACTCTCGAACATGTGGATACATCAGGATCGATAAGGTTATGATTCAAGCACGTCTTTCGTCGGCAAACAATCCAATGTTAAGCAACAAATGTAAAGATATATTTGGGATGAAAGATTATAACGAATAAGGATTTCTTGTCTTGTATCATAACCTGATCGTGCGGATATGCTGATGTGTCCACACCTGATTGTGATTTTTATAGCGGAGAAACCTGGATCCTGTCGGGCGAATTACAGGTGAGCAAATATATATTAAGCCCTCTAAGCGGCGCATTTCTTTTCCCGCCAACAACGGCGACACCTATTTTGGCTTCTCCGCATCGCTTTCTCGGCGAGGGGTGTCTCATCTGCTCCTAGGTCTGCAAAATATGCCTCTGATCCCTCTCCGGATCTCTCGGCGAATTGATTTCCTCGGTGAGCTTCGGATCCCGCTCGCTTTCTTCTGCGTTTTTTGCTCTTAGTGTTCCTTTCAAGGGGCATCCGATTCGGAGCTGGGGAGTTGTTGCTTGATCCCCATGTGCGATGCTTCTTTGTTTGTTGTATTCGTGATTTTTGGTTGCGATATGGGGTTATGTATCTATGCATCTCGCATTTTCGGGCTTAAATTTAGTGCTGTTTGAATAGTTCTCGGGAGTGATATGATCGGGGGTATTATGTTCCTGCCATTGAGGACATATTTGGGCGTTCATCATGAATTAAGCCACCATGTATAATCTACGAACTGTACCATATTTGCTTGTATGATCGCAACCGATCTTTAGTTGCTCTTTGTAATTTTGAAGAAATCTGCTATTGATGAAGAGCAGACTGCTTGGAAAGGATAATCCCGTGTTGTTGTGAATTCTCTTGTGATTTATCGACCAGTTCTTGTGAGCACCACTTCAACTCTTACTTTATAAGAAATAGCACGGCATCCAACCTACTGGAGCAGTCGCATCACCTGAAAGTCAAGTTGTGAAGAACCAATAAAATTCTTGGTCCTAGTATTTCAAGAGAATGATTACATATTACTTCATGTAGTTAGCTATTTTTGGCATTTCGATCTCTACATTTTAAAATGTTATATTGGCGTCCCTATAGTTACGAAAGTGAAATATTTAGGTTCATTTACTTTAATGTCATCTGTTTTACTAATGAAACACGAAAATAAAGGATAAAAAAGTAATTTTTAATATTCTAGTTGGTGAGACGGATGATGTCGACGATGGCGGACGGTGGTGCCATTGGGGGTCATGAGTGGCTATTGTGGATAAGGAGAGTGATGGCGAGAGGTGAGGGTCGCTCGACAATTGTGTTGACGCCGACGTAGTTGTCGAGCGGCAAAAGATTCTCTCGACATTTATATTAGCATCGACGTAGATGTAGAGTGGTGAAGGGGCCGCTGACGCAAATGCAGAGCGACGTCGCTCGACATCTACATTGATGGCCCTTTCATCACTCGATAACTATATTGATTTCGATGCAGATGCAGAGTGGCCCTCACCTCTCGTCGTCGCTGTCCTCATCTACAATAGCCACCCGCGACCCTTAGCGGCATCGTCGTTTGCCACCATCGACGCCGTTCATGAACACCAGTTGGAATGTTAAAAATATATTTTTTGTCATTTGTTTTCGTGTTTTCATTGGTAAAACCAACGGCGTTAGGACAAATAGACATAGATGTTTCGTTTTTTTAACTATACAGATGTCAATGTAACTTTTTAAAGTGCAAGGATCGGGAGACTAAAGGTAGCTAACTATATAGGGTAATTTGTAATTAGCCCTACTTCAAGTGATCGAACAAAAGTTGGTGCAAGCGGCTTTTAGGAAATATTTGGTAACTTTTGTAGAATTAGTAGGGTTTGTATCTTCTTCATTTATTGCTGAATCTACTGGTAACATGTTTTCTATAAGCAGGGATTGCATATGAAGACTGCAAAATTTTACATGGAGAATTTAAAGAAAGTGATGCTCTGCTTGACTTTGTTTTGATGTCTGTATTAGGATGCAGTGACTCAGGGCATTTCATGCGTTCAATAACATTAGATAACTGTAGGCTTTAGTTGCTAGGCACCTGGTGAAGCAACAAACTGTTATCACTGCATTGCGTGTGGGGCATTGTTAAGTTGCAAGCTCTTGTTCATGGTTGGAGAATTGAGTCTTTCAGGTCTTAGTCCTGAAGAATGAAATTCCAGGATTTAGTTACAAATTATTTTATGTTTATAATTCTTTTTACTGTTATTCTGAAAATTCTAGCATCCTTGTTTTTCTGACATCGAAAACAAAATTCCATTTGTGGCTATTTTGTACTGGTAGCTTGTAGATTATTCATTACCAATACCTTTCCATTGTGCTAAGAAAGCAAATATTTTGGGAGTTTATGTATATTAATCCTGAAGCACGGATTTTCCTGCTGCTCTTTCTTGGTTAGGCATGACGACTCTTATTTCCACACCTTAAATTCTGTTGTCGGGGAAGACTTCTGTCTGATTCACACATTTGAATTTGCTGATTATTTTCTGAGAATTAGATTCTGAATATTAATGAAACATTCAGTGTTCAGCAAAATTTAAATGGAAGTTGCCTATTTTAACCTCTCTTTGAGGTCTAACCATTAGGAAATCTAGTGTTCTCCATTATGTTAGGTTCACTAAAATGGCTGAACTAGTGTCACACATATGCTGATCTACTTCTGCAGGACAATAAGTTGGATTATTAGGAGATGGAACTGTCTGCCAATCAGTATATTTGCATGGTAAGTTAAATTATGAAACATTTAGGATGACAATAATAAGATGAAATTATATTTATAGGCAAAAAGTTTGTTGCTTGTACCATTATTTTTTCTACTTTCTTCATAAACACACTGTTGAAGATCAATATTTTGGAGTAGAAAGCAAAATTTTAGATTTTAATGCATACATCTGAGCAAATGTCCTTCTGGCATCCAAATTTACTTTTTGGATTACTCAGATCAGTGCATTATGTTTATTGCATTTTCTTCAGCTAATTTCTAGGCTGGCTGTTGGAAAGCCTTTTGCAGATTCATTATGATCTAGTTCAATCAAATTCAGTCATCAGTTGGCTAGAGCACTGAACATCCTCGCATTTCTGGAAATCACTTCCTCAGCCAAAGAAGTATGCCGATGCGAAATATCTGGAAAATTGCTGCAGAAAGTGTATCAGTCAAACTAGTATCACGTGTTCATCGGATCTGAAGGTTGCTGTGATAACTAAACCAGAAAGGCATAAATGCAACGTGAGGAAAATATACAACCATCCTTCTGATCCTGTGGTGAAGTGACAAACACACTGTTTGATGCTCCACAACAGAACACAGCAGCAGTGGGTCTAAGAATGCAGTAATTGATGACAATTTTGCATCAAACTGTAAATATTACAAGATATCTGTAATGGAAATTAAGCTTGATAGATGATCAGGGTCCAAATTAGTGACAAGTTTTAAAGATTCTGAATTAAGCTTGATAGATGAAGTTTCCTTTCAGATTCTGAAACATTTACAGAGAACGGCTTGCAGAAAATAAGGTTGCCAAGCTATATGGCAACTACTGAATTAGCTCAGGCACAGCTTAAGAGCTTAAGAGAACAAGTTTTTTTACCAACGTTGGGATCCTATCAAACTGAAAGAAACAGTATCATCAGTCAGCATTTTCTGCTTTCTTCTGTGAATGGAAAACACTTACAATATTCTCTCACATACAAGCTGAACCAAGCAAGCCGCAATGGTGGGATAAGAAATGCCAGATTCTTCTTATCAGAAAGAGATGGTAGTGGTATGACCTTCTTATCATTTTGCTTAGATATATTTTGATATGAATTTTCTTGTGTAGGTGTTGAGTTTCCTGAAATTTTTATCCTTATAAATTGATTTTTTGTGTCTTCGTGAGTTGCATGGCGACGAATCTTAAGGGCCCATTTGGATAGGGCTAGATCCCGTCGGGCTGCGGAGAAAAACCACACGGTCTGGATTGGCTGTTTGGGTGGATGGAAGGCCCAGTCCCAGCAGCTGGAAGTAAAATACCTGATGGGAAGGCCCAATCTTTGTTTTATGTTTTTCTCCTGTGCTTCCGAGGGATGGAAGCTGGAGATGATGCCCTTCATCTCTTCCTTGGACCTGCTCCATCCATTAAGTATCACATTTCCGACATACTTGATCATTGTCATCCCTCCATCCGCTTTCCCACTATGGTGCGAGGTTCTTATCAGAGCACTGTACGTGGAGGCTTTGGGAGTGGAAAGTGGAAACATGAGATTCGTTTTGCACGCCTGCTCTTAATTGTGTTTCCAATCCATACTGGAGGTAGAAATGCATCCCTTAAATGCAAAATAGATTTTGTGCTATCTAAACCCGTTGCTACTAGTATCTAATCCCCCATACTCTTCTTGACAGGAAAAGAAATCTTGATTGGTTAGTGACAGTTTAATAATGTTTTTTTACCTGCTGGTCGTCCATATCTATCGAGTTCCACAAATATATATGAAATATGTGAAATGCAACATTGGCTTGGATGTTTATGGTTCTTTTCTTTTATTTGTCAAAGTTACAGAGAAAGCAATTCAAATGGAATGGAGGCAGCGATATTCTCAGAATGTGACTTAAAGTTTTCCACAGAGCAATATTTTGTCTGTTGGCTACAGTCTCACTCTTCACTTTTTGTGTTGAGGTGCACAGTTATGCCGTGATCCTTATCCCACTTGATTATTGCTGGTGTGTGCCATCCTACTGTATTTTCTTTTTTCTTACGCTGGAGGACATGATATTGCCGGTACGCACATCTTCAGTTCCTTTTTTTAGTCTGGCATGGTTTATGCAATAGAGCTGTGCACCAGTCCTCCTCGAAACATCAAACATTGCATTCTCCCATCATTCACAAACATCTGGTCTCTTTTCCACTTTATTTTGTGCTGATCCTTTTGCAGACTAGTCTGGTGGTGTGATTTCTGGAAGAGATTCTTATCAGATGCTTTTTCAGGTAGCAATAGCTTTCTTCCTTCTCTCTTTTACTTGGGAGAATCCTGTTCATCATTTTATTTAACCTCAGTTTGTATGCTACAAATTTACTTCAACATAATTCATAGTAATCCAACAAAAAGAGAAATTGCAAGCACTTGAATGTAGTTTGCTGGACTCATTATCGCACTGAATCACCTCACTTCTGCTCCTTAATCTTTTGCAGTCAAGCAAAGTAGTTCAAATCAAATGAGCAAATAAAAGTAGTGTTGTATGTTGCGCTTTGCCACCATGTTTTCCTTTAAAGTAGTAAGCATTTAGGACACCCCCCCCCCCCCTCCATCACATGGCAAAAAGCCAGATAAAGTAGAAGCACAGATTATTACTATAACCTAGTATTCTTGTTCTTTTTGAATTAGAAGATGTATCTCCTGGAGACCCGAAGCTGACTGCCTTAATGAGACCACTCTTCACGCTACCTATACGATCACATCACCGGTCAAAGGTACGTACCTCATTTTATTTTACGCACTGCACTCATTATAATTGGTTCGATAAAAAGTTCTTATTTATTCACACCAGCTTATCTTTGATTCGAGTTTTATGTAAAGTTTCGATCCTTAATTATGAGTGCATTAATCATATTGAAGTCGAGCTATAGGTTTTCTTAAGATGTACCGAGTGCAGGAAATTTAAGCGTCGAAGCCATCGACGGTGTGATTATTGAGTGGTTCTCGGACGTGTACGTATCACTTCACTTTTACTTGGAGTGTTCAATGATCAATCATGATCGGGACCCACAAATGGGACAGGAATTGGACCAGTCACCTTATCCCATTTCGTGACGTTGCGGCAAGCCAAGGTGTGCATGATCTCATCCTCTTTGTGTCGTCTCCAAGTGTTTGAGCTGATGTGGTGGCCTTTTCTTTAGGGGATGATTCGTGGGCGTGTAAAGCGGTTGCTATTGGATCAAGTGGCGGTGGGATATGTGCTTGCGTGGCGAGCTTGGCTACGAGTGCCGTGGATGAACAAACCGCAACACATGTATGGTACAATGTACATTACTTTCTCCTTTTTCTTTTTCTTTTTCCCCTACTTTTTCTAGCATTCGGATGTCAAAAAAACGCATAAAAGATGAAAGATCAGATCAAACTTCGGACCAAACAGTAACCACGAGAAGTCTTCAGTTGCCTTGCGGCCTGAGTTTTAGGAAAATAAGAAATAATGTGATGGGCGTTCTTTAATCTTATCGACCCTTGATTTGACTCGTACGTGCCAAAATAACCTGAGTCTTAGATTTCGTACTGAATGTCAAAGTTGTTGGCTTCTTCTAACTTTTGTTCTCCATCCTCAAGCTTAGTCAATTGATTTATTAGAACCAGATGAATATACTGTATTAGCTTTTTTTAGTTTGAGTGTCATCCAAGATTGGACTATACGGCCAACACACCTAAACGGTAGGTATGTTAGATCCCATGATCTCAACGTGAATGTACTATCATTAAGATATTTTGAAGTATAGAAATCATAGATGCCAAGCATTAATGATTGGATGATTTTTTCTTTTTCTCTCTTATGGATTTTGTAATATTAGATGGGTTGAATGAGTGTTTTATCCTGCTTATTGTTTTGGATAATCTCTGACGGCATTTTGGCTTAATTTGTGGGGCTCTGCCACCTTCTAAAAGGAGAGGGGAGTTTAAAGTTTGTGATAAGACTTGCTAACGAAATGCTTATCCAAGAGAGAAAAACAAGGTCACAACAAAACATTGAGGGCTGGAGTCAATTTCGAGAATATTGCCAATCAAGTGCTTCTTAGAACACAACTAGTGTTCGATTGTAACCTTTTCCTTTTCGATGGAATTGAATGATTAGGTTAATGGACCCAACTTGGTTCACTATTGGAGAATTAAAACACCATAGAAGAAAAAGAAAAAGGATAGCCAGAAATAAGAAAAACAGTAGAGTAGGAAAGGAAAAATGGGAAGAGCTTAAACAACGACGTGAGACTGGCAATCAATCCAAAGGCCACACTGTTGTTCATCTTCTAATAGTTCCAGCAAATAGTCCGAGGAATCAAGTACGAACCTTGAGAAGAACCTTAGGAATAAGAACAATTTTGGCAGAGAATCAAGATGGGACCTTGTGAAGAACCCTAGGCATAAGAATAATTTTGGCAAGATTAAGAATAAGTCGATACTGGTTGCAAGCCACACATGAAGATAAGTAGATTTGATTTTAGAAAAGAAGTTTCAGGAAATGAAGTATAATTATTTTGATTCGACTACCATGCTGTCCAAAATACTTAAATCCAAATTGATGTCCATCTAACTCTTATAAATCAATTCAATTCAGTATCTCCTTGAGACTAAATGGAGGGTGTTGCAATGATGATTGAGTCTGCTAACAATACATTGATAGATGACTTTTCTAAGAATATGATAGTTAGAATTATGTGAACTTTTTTAAAGTTGGGTGATTATTTTAGAACTCATACGAACAGATACATGTAGAAGGCATACAAAAAGTAAATAAGAAAATATTTTATGATGTATTTCATTTTTTCTTTTATGAAGAATTATCATCAACTACAGGGTTGAAATCTTAACCCTGTAATTTATGATAATTCAGAAATGGCTGATGAAATTTATGAGTAATCCATATAATCATTTAGCAGAATCATAAACCATTCAAGAAGAATGAGTAGTATGGAGAGTAGGACTCTTATGATATTCACTGGTAGGCTGCTTGTTTATGATTGGAGTTGGATTTTGCAGATATTTGACATCCATATAATAATAATTTTTCTTTCTTTTTTCTATGCTACTTGATTGTAGATTAGCGATAGTATTATAATACCAAGCTCGTTTGAGCTATCTCAAGTCTTGTGGACTCGACTCCATAAACCTCAGTATTCAAGCATGACTCACATCTCATTAGCAAGTTTTCTTGAGCATGTCCACATCTTCTCTCAAATGCCAGTTACAAGAATATGCTCTATTATTATTCTGAAAACAATATTAGACCTGATTCTACTTCAGCTCTAAGATCAATCTCAAGCACAATGAATTCTTCTCTCAACCACTGATGAAGACAATACATTATCCGACACTCTCACATCAACCAAAGCAAGCACCACCATATTCCCTTTGTAAACAGAACCAGCCAGGGGTTTGCTTTCCTTTAACATCCCATCTCATACCATAGGCCATCTTTACCAGGACAACGACGGAGTACCAATCTATATTCATGTCACCCTTAGCAGAAAGGTCTTAACAAAAAAAGAACACAAGAGATCATTCATGCCTAGATCAAATGACTGAGTACACCCTGACAAGAACTAAACATCTTGGATCAAGCTCTAATAACTAGAAGTCTACCACTACATATGGGGCAAAATGAGGAAGGATAACTATAGAAGTGTCAGCAAATGCAGGTAATAATATACATGTAGGTTAAGCATTCTAATTAAGGCCACAGCCACAGGTCTTGCTCAGTGACATGGAACTCAGAACCGCATGAATTATCCTGAAGACTCGAGAAGCTGCAGGCTTTAACCTCACCAATCTGTGATTGATCAGAACGAACGTGTACGAAGGGATTTGAGGGACTGGTGAGCTCCATTAGCATAGAATAACTACCTTCATCAATGCAATGAGCGCTTTCAGAGTCTAACATGGTGCTGTTGGCAGAGTTAATATCTTCTTGCTTGCATGGCATGGTCTGCCCATGCACTTTCTTCATCCCAGTGTCCAAATTGGAGTTCGAATTCCTCAACTTGTTAGGATATCTGTTCAACTCAAATGGTTCCATGCAGCCTTTCTCCTTCATAAGTAGCTTATTTTTGAGAGAAAGAACCTGTTGAGAGGAAGCTCATGCTGATAAGAATACAGTCCACTAGGATTCAAAGTAATCTTAAGAATTTTCTCTAAAATCACATGGTCAGGAATTCAGAATACAGAAATTTAGGATAGACATAAAAACATATGATGTAAGAGATGGATGCATCGTGGCCTAAAACAATAGGATTGACATCATGCTAGAAATTATGTTTACTTCAATTTTATCTCAAGTTCTCATTAAATTCCAATATATTTGTTTTGACATCAGAAAGATATTTGGAATAAGATAAACACCTCAAACATGAGTGCAGTGTGAGTACCTCAATCTCCAGTTCTTCCTTTTCCTTGAGAAGTCTACCATGATCCATCTTGAGATTGTGATAGCTAGATTTCAGGGCCTCATAGTCCTTCTCCAACTGCTTTGTTTTCCACCGTGCACGGCGGTTCTGAAACCATATAGCAATCTGCCTGGGTTTTAGTCCAAGAAACTTTGCAATCCGAAGCTTCCTCTCAGGTTCAAGTTTGTTCTCGAACTCGAAGCTCTTCTCAAGGAATTGAACTTGTTCTGCAGTTAGCCGCCTCTTCTTTTCCGGCTGATGAAGAAGCTCATCTGATTCGTCGTCGTCGATTTCTTCCAACTCAATTGGCCTAAATAGGGGCCTATCAGGACTGCTCCCATAACCATCCTTGAGAGTTGCAAGACACCATGAGCCTGAAATAGAAATCTTACGCTTCAAACTTGCATATATTCGGAGCTAATAATACATCCAAACACTAAATCATAAATCTTTCTTATGCTAGTATCTTAGGAGAGTCATTTAGTGCATTTATGATCGTTAAATGATTCAAGACGCAAAGGATTACGACTGTGAAGAACATATCAATAAGAAGTTATTATGTCAGCATTTTAGGAAAACATGTAAAACATTTCTGTTGTATTGATTAGGGATCCTATGAGTAGAACCAAAGCACCTATTAAACAAAAGGTCAAGTCGAATGCAGTCCACTTATTGCTTGACCATGATCTGGTGAAACAGAATGAGCGTTCTGCAGACATAAGATCACACGAAATATTTGGATAGGAAGTTCTTGACTGGTAACATCAATAGATAAACCAGAAAGTAAGGAGGCACAGAGTTTGTCTCCAACTAGAATTATTCCAGGGAATCTTTGCATGTCAAGTTAATGCATACATCAAAAAAGACAGTTTGGCTTCAACTAGAACTATTCCAGGAGAAGATAAACCAGAAATTAAACAAGTATATAGGCACAAATTTAGACCTTCAGGTTGATTGAAGTGAGTGCAACCAAACCAGCGCCTACTGAGCTATATGTTCCTTCTTTGTTTTTTTGTGGGTGCAGATCACCAAATAATAGAAGCCATGGTGAAATGGTGCAAATGGAAAGAGGAGCAGGAGAAGCACCACATGAAGCAGGAAAGTAAAGCAAAGGTAAACCAAGATGGGAGTAAATACATAGAAATGGAGATTACCCAGAGAACCGCCGGTAGGAGTTCCTGGAGCCAACAGTTGGCCAGCGTACTCTTTATACGTCGCCTCCCTCTGCAGCAAAACGGCCGTGCTTGAGCTCCCATCACGCCACCTCCCCGCCATCCCTCTGTCTCTCTCTCTCTCTCTCTGCTTTCACCAAAAGAGCAAGTAAAAGAGATATCTTTCTTCCTTTCCTCTCCGCAGTGGATGAGAATTAATGGGCACAAGTTGTCCCATTAGGCAATCTTGTGACGGAAGTAGCTGGTGATCATGACGACAGAGCCGTGGGAGGAGGTAAGGAAGAAGATAGGGCCACATAGACCCATTAGCAGTACCTCTCACTCTCTCGAGCTGAAGGGAGTCCTAACGGCGTGATGAAACCGAGAGTTCTCCCATAGAAAAAACAGTAGATGAATTTGTTCCGAAACAGAGTGCTTATGATGGAGGAGGATGTTTGAGTTGGGTTCTGATCTCTCTATAGCTTCTCTAAATCTACTCCTTTCTCTTCTCTGGCAAGGAGTGGGGAGGGGATTATATAGAGCAGCAGCAGAGCCCTCTGTTTGATCTTTTGCACAGGCAGGCCTCCAAGGATGAGGATGTAGACAGTAAAAGACAGGAATATCCCCATGACTGGCTTTCCGCGCTTTAAGTGATTGGTGAAATACATAAAGAGGAAAAATGCTTTTTTTCTTCTTAAAATAAAAGCCAAAAATTATTATGTAAAATATTCTGAAAAAACTATTCTGCACAGACAAAAAAAGTTTCCAGTCATATGTTTCCATAATTTGATTCCAGCTTTTTTTTTCCCAAAAAAATTCTGGAATCAAATTAACCTCTTTCAAAGATATGGGTTTTAGAGGAAAATTGTACTTATGAAATAAGAAAGAAAACTTGCACAATAAGGAATCTGAACTCATGGACTGTTTAGTATTCTCCCCCAAATAACACTTTTTCCTCGCAAGAACACAAAATAGACAATGTGTTGCAGCAGTAGACGGGAGAAAACAAACTTTATGTAATCTTTTTTTTTTTTCTTCTTCTTTTATAAGCTTAACAATAATATAAAGCAAATAGTAGTTGGTTTTCCAACAATGTTAGAAAAGCTCTCCAACCTGCCTTGACCCATTCATCAACTCAATTTCAGGATGACAAGTTAAGCCAATTCAAACATGGTTAGCTGCCATTGCTTCACTGGTCCAAAAAAGACCTATTTCCATTATCTAAAAGAACTTGTGATATGAGCATTCCACTTGCTCAAGTTACCTCAAGAACTCTTCAACCAAAAGCTAAACCAAGAGTAAGAAGCATCTGGTGCACGAATTCTAAAACAAATGTAGTGAAAATTTCTCTCTTAAAAAAAACTAAGTACACCATCCAGATTATATATATATATATGTTGAATACTGTTACACCACAAAACTTGCTGCCAGAAGAACAATTTTTGCAAAAGCTCTTAAAATGAAATTTCATCAGAAAGGAAACTAACAATATGAATCCACTTCTGTGGCATTTTGTCTGATGTTCTGGATGCTTACAAATCATTATACAGCAGCCGATAGAGTTATTGCAGCGACAATCTGCTGAACAAATCTGCAAAGCAGAACGAGCATGAATACTGAATATGTTGTTCGTCATCCCCAATAAACATCGTTGACATCAAAGGTATCGGAAATTTTGTAATAGGTTTTCCCATGAGTGAGATAACTTGCTTCCCCCTGCTTAAATGAGCAATGGAGTTGGCGAATTGTCAGGGGCATCAAACCGGCCCCTTGATGTTTCTTGGGAGGCTTTAAGCAATGACCTCATCTCCAGAGACCATCTGAGCAACAGCCCAACTTGATGTATGCATGATGTGGTTAGAGGATAAGGAACACCAGAACTCAGATATAGCAAAATGCCATGACTGTCCTAGTCATCTTCCATATTGAAGAACCCTCCGATGCGCTGCCGTCTTTTGTTGAAAATAGTTCTGAAAGACTCATGCTCAGCACGTAGTTTTTCACTAAATCGTCTTTTTGATTCACTCATACTACTGCTCTCAGTTGCTCCCACAGAATCCTGGTCTTCAACCATCGGATTCGAGGCCTGCAAGAACAAAATTTACTTTTCAATCACTCAAGTCACTAAAGGTGAAGGTTTTAACTCCAATGATTGGTTGCATCAAATGCTGCAAGAGGCTTTACTTGGAAGTCTTGACCAAAAAATAGGTAAATAATGAAATGAGAAACAGAATATTCATCTTTTTCATAAATGTTTTTAGTAAATCAAACTTCCATCGGGTAAAAGTTACAGAACCTAATTATTTAACAAAAACAGCTTTCCTAGTGCCAAGAAAAATTGTCAGCCTGCAATATGTTTCTAAATGAACATTCAGAAACAAAATTCATGCAGGCCGAAGAACAGAGTTAACCAAAAGAACACCATTTGAATGCTTTTTACATTTTCCTTTTTTCAGCTGACGAATTCTGTTGCATCAGATGAAACCATTGTTCAGCGAATACTAAAAAACAACCACAAGGGTGTAGTTGTCATAGCAATTTTCTCTGTTCACTCTGCCATTGGCAACATAGAGTTGCCAAAAAGAAAACAGAAAATTTAAACCCCATCAAAGAAATGACAATACTTATTTCTTGTAAGACATACAGGAGTGATGAGCATAGTGGATGCCATGTATCATATGCTTTAAAGAACCATTCAGTGAAGCAAACCAAAAGAGGATAGTAAGCCAATACACATCACTCACCAAATTGTAACCTGATCCTGGACCAATGATCAAGGAAATTTGTTTCTTCATAGCACCAATTGAAAATCCACTCTTGTCAGCCTGAAAAATAAAATAATATTAAGTATACCACAACAACTTCATTGTGATTTGGACAGTTTCCAAACAAACACGTGAACAAAACCATACAAGAAGTTAAGTTGTTAGAAGATAAGTAAACTAACTTGATGATAAACAGAATATGAAAGATAACATAGTGAAGCTAACATAGCTAACTCTACAGTAGTCGTTTCTCTTCAGCAGATCAACAATATTCATCTCAGGAATGTAGCCTCTCTGTTTACTGACCCAACAGTGTTTTTAAAGCATGAGAAAACACTCGTGTTCATGATAGCAAACCTATGATATAGACATTTCTTGCATAAAAAAATAAAACTCACATGATGCAACCACACACCCTTAATGTAATTGAAAATAGTGCAAAATTAGTATTGTCTCAACAAATTATATTTGTTCCTAATGTTGACAACACAACCATTCTAATCATGTGCATAAAGAACTTAGCATCATTAGTTGATCATTAATTTGCATAATGCACATACAAGCATAATATGCCCAAAAGAGGCAAAAGACCACTGGTTAGGTGAGGTGTGTTAATTTGGCTTACAGAGGAACATCTAAGAAAAGCTCTATGATAACCGAGATATCTTAATCTGACTAGTGATACTGTCCTTGACAAAGCTCAATGGCTTATTGTTTGTTCTTGTATTACAAGCATAATATGAACGGATCATATACAAAATGATTGGTTAAGAAGTAAATCCTTTCACAATAGACATCATCAAACTAGTATATATAAAGCAATTAGCAAAATTAGAAAGTTCGTTGGTCTTTTGTGTTGCAAAATCAACAAATGACATTATTTACCTGATCACCCCAGTGAACAGATTTTCCACTCTTGCTATAAGCTTGAATTAGGCCAGAAAGAGCATTTATATTTCCTCTGACATTTTCTGAGTTTTCAATATCTTCTTCCAAATCCTTTGACCATTTACTGCTCCCTAATTCTTTGATTCTCGTCTGTCCTTCCTCCTCTTCTTCAGAGTCCCATTTTTCTCCAACTTTTGATAAATCTAGGAAAATGAAGGAAAAAGGACACATAAATCATCATTTATACTAGTTCTTGCATGAAGAATAAATGCATATCAAATCTATGCATGTACAAAAATTAGATAAATAAAACAATGGCCATAACTGGAGAAGTTATAAGAAGGAAAATGGCTTCATCAGATTAGTTGCCTAATGACAAACCACTCAAAATTGTCACATTTGAGAAAAAAGTAGAAAAATCCGCATCCTAACTATAATAAAGATTATTAAGGGAATAAGAAAATATTCATATTACAAACTTCTCATTAAAATAGATCACAAGGAAAAAAGACAAACTGGGGAGTTTCCTGATATCACGAAAAATGTCTCAAGATAGCATTTTGCCAAGACTTGAAATGTAGTGTTTTGATCAAGAAATACCCAGCCAAACTGGTTTGTCTTTTAAGTAATTAAACAATTAGCTATGAAGCTGCCAGTTTTCAACATTACAACCTGCCAGAGAATGGAAGTGTATGTCAGCAGGAACAACTAGAAGTCCAGCACTTTAAAGTTTCAACATCCAACCGCACGATATTGACTAACCAATCATGCCCTTAGTATACGATAACAACAAAATAACTTGCCAACTATTTGAGGTTGGTCAAATGGACTGGATCCTGACATTAGATTCATTGGGGGCAACACCACTAGTTAAACTGAAATCAGATCTCTTGTTTGCAAATTCTATATAATGTTATTAGTTTTCCTCCACCTCTTCTACTCTACTAATTTGAATTGATTCGCCTCGTAATAAGCACATTTGTTGGTCATAATTCTGAGGTGTTCAAAGTTCATGCTACCTTCAAAAGTTCTAATTCTATCCTCAATCATATTACCTTAATAGTTCATGAATGCAAAATAATATAAGGTTACCTATTCCCATAATCCCACACAATCATTTTGGTAACATCATATGCTGTCTCCATACAATCCAACAAATTTATCTTATAATTTTATTTTTAATCTGAGCAACATACAACCGTCAGACAACACTATAAATGCCTCTAGCCACTTTCACCATCTGATTTTAATTCTTTTAGCAATATCTTCTTCAAACTTCCCTTCATGTTGGTGGACTTCTGAGATTTCTGGTCCATCTATTACAACTACATTTAATCCTCCCTAGATGTTACATAAAATGCACATCATAAATTTGTCTTAGCATAACTTGTTCAAAATTCCCAACTACTACATGCTGTCTCATAGCTCTAGGTTTAATCAGTATCTCAAATCATTTCTCATCAATCAAAATGATGACATCAGCAAACAACATAGATCATGAAAGTTTATCCTGAATATCCCTAATAAGATCATCCATCATAAGCACCAAGGAAGGTTGTTTCTTCAATACCAAACAGAGGAAGAACCAGCGTTCAACCACTAGTTTCATGCAGAAAATTAAAAGTTGGTCCGTTATAAGATGATTGAGTCAGTGAACCAATCGAGCGAGGATCAAGGTCCGATCTGTAGGAGTGGATTAGGCTTGACATTTAGGTTTAAGACTCCCTTCCCCTACTCACTTAAGAAAATGAAACAAGAGCACCTTGATAATAGACTCCAGAATGACATTGAGGCTCTCATCAAGAGGATTGGCTCTTAGCACCAAGGAAAAAAAATTGATAATACTTAAAGCACATCCCCATGGCAATAAAAAACTTTTGCAAGATGGAACTATTGTCCTACACCAGTTACTGCTTGTTATACACATCTTTTAGGGCTTATTATACCTTTGTCGGTCACGTTCTCATCCTTATAAAGTATCTAGAAGCAACAAAAGATGCTCAAAAATTAGAAAGGATGACGCAGAGAGTACCTTTATCAGGTACATAATCCACTGATTTTGGTTCAGAAGGCTTAAGGCTTTCCTCATCCTGCAACTTGGTACCATCATCATCACAGTCCGAATCATTGATGTCCATGTCAACCTGAAAAAGGAGGTATTTTTTATTGACACTGACAGGACAAGGATTCCATAAACTGTAAAGTTTAGAATATGTAAGAGATGTTAAATATCAACATCACCTTCCAAGATTTTATATTTCACACACACACACACATATATTATCATCACCAATCTATGTAGTTGTATCACAAATAGGCAACAATAAGATGAAAACAAAGCTTCTCAGATGAAAATGAAACTATCTCGACTTCTCTAGAATGAGAGAAATAAATGTTAGCATGCAATAGGAAGAACCAAAAAATAAAAATCTCATATCAGCTCTGAAAGCATGTGTAATAGCAGAACAAATCTGGGTTGCTCTCATGCGATTCAGAATATCCATAACTGAATTTCTTTCCTGGCAGTTAATGAATTAATAATACAATAAAATCTTAACTATTGTGGATTTCCCATTTCAGAAATCATCACACATTAAAGATGGCAGAACAGAAGATAGGAAGTAAATAACCAGAAAATAATGCTACTAAAGACAGACTTTCATGGCCTGTACATGCTACTGCAAATATGAGATAAAGAGGTGGAATGTGATGGAAAAGAAAGTCATGAGAGGCGGAACATTAGATATGGAAGTGCAAAAATTATAACTCATAATATCGTAAGGATAGGAAAAAAAAATCCCCTCTTCTTGTTCAGTCTTAAAAAATTCCAAAGTAACAATAGTGGAAAACTGGTTTATCAAGAGGACAAAGCTCTTAGTTTGACCAGTTATATTGTCCTAAATGGAGTTCAATAGTGAAAAAAAAAAAACATGTAGCTCCCCTTCAGTAAATCATTGTCACAGATGTGTAAACTCGGCAATTTAAGTTTGGGATGAGGCTTGTACCACTTGATACAAGATTTGTACCAGGCTTACCATCCATTAGGGCTTGGCAATCGACTTGGACCAGGCTGTAAGCCTGCTCAATTTCTTTTTTTTTAATTCTAACAAAAAATTTTGTAAAACCCTAACATCTAGTCTATATCTCGTTTCTGCCCCCATCAGGCCCTACCAATTGTTACTCTATTTCGCCTTCTTCTCAACCTTTCCGACACTGGCACCACCCCTGCCCCCTCCCATCCTCTCCTTCGCAGCAACCTTCCTCTTTAATGTCAGCCTCCCCTCCTCCCTTGCTGCCTCCTACCCTCCTCCATTGTCTGCTCCCTTTCTCTTCTTTTCCTTTCTTCCTCCTCTTCCCCCTTCCCTCCTGTTCTTGTATCACAGTACGTTCCGACATATTGTGTCAGTAGGCCAAAACGAGTTCGACCATGGACGGGCAATGGAGGAGAAAGCCATAGCATTGGGTATTTGGATTTACATAAGAGTTTTCAATTACCATCAAGTAGTGCAAAACTCTACACATGTAAGAACCCATTTCATTTCCTTCTTAACAACAATTGATATTAGCACCAGTGTTGCTTTACCCAGTTGCAATATACAGTGGTTGCTTGGAGTCACACGAGGATCAGCAGATCTATATTCCTATTCGTCGATCATTACATGTACACAACTATCCTTTGCTCTGGACATACTTAAAGAAGTAGAAAACAAATTCCATGTCCATCTCTATATAACTGATTAACATAAGAAAGTGCATCTAGTTTATTAGTTCTATCAATGAACAATAAGCAATATGGATTTTCCTCAACATCTTGTTTTTAATACAAAGGAGCCTTGGTGTCATCATTTCATCAAACATTTGTTTCTAATATAGAAGATTAAAAATACTGGGTAAAAACAAACTAAAAAAAATGAACAAGTTTCATCTGGTAATGATAATCAGTTGAAAATCATATCCTCTTTAACTTGGTATAATTGTGTTTAGTTAACAATTTGAAGAGTTAACCAAACATATTTTAGTTTCAGGTTTTGTCCGATTCTGAGAAAATAAGCTTGATATATGTTAACATTAGTTTAAATACAATCAAACTAATGAAAAATGGTTGAGTTTGGTCGATACAACCTAATTGATAACCCACAGAAGTAGAAAATAAGAGGGGAGAAGTAAAGGAGGAGACGAGAGAATCAAAGATGGACAACAGTGTTCTCATCATTGAATGGTATGACTGCAAATCAACTAAAAATGTCCAATTCAGATCAAGACCGGCCAATCCAAGTCAAGAAACCCTGATCTTGAGATAGATATCCACTATGATCAATTGGAATAGATATCCACTATGATCAATTGATCTTACTTGTTAATATGTCACATTTCAATTACCATTCAAAAGTCAGCGGATTTGATTATCACTAGTAGCTCATTGTCGGTGCCTGTGGAGTCCCCTAACGACCATGTCTTCCCATTGTCACTTTCACTATTAATGCTACCCAATTATTATGAGGGCAAAAGGTAACGTCTGTGGGTGACATATATAATAATATAATTATGTATATTATAGATATGTTGAATGAGACCATAACTATATATGTATTCATATACATAACAGATTTTCAAATTTTAATAAAATACATTTTAGTATATTTTATACCTTTCAATGTATTTTTTCTAATATCTCTAAATTTTAATGATTTTAAAATTTTAACCTATTTTCTCAACCATTTCCAATCTCATCAATATGATCAGCCATTCTGGCCATACCCACCATATTTGTTGTCAGCTGATTTTAACTTCAATTCTGGTGTTGCACCAACACTCCATATCATGAGATTCATGACATTAGTTGATAGAATCAAAAAGATATAGTACAACCACAAGTTAAATAACTAAAAACATAAACGGGTCAAACAAATATACATGAATCAGGAACAAAAGTATCAGCCAAGTTCACTACTAACTAGTCTCCAAGCATGCTAAAAAAAATTGACTTAAAATAAACGTCCACGTTTCTCATATCATGATGGAAATGTTACACCACATCACCTCTTGAATAGAGTGCTCATTCAGATCATCCCCACGGAACAATGACTGCAAGTCAATAAAATTGCATCAAATAGTGAGCTAGGTAATGAAAAATATTTTGCTTGTTATCTAACATAATATGAAGTTATGAACAAGACCTGGATATCAAGTCGCAGGTATAAAAGTGGAGCTTCTTCCCATTTTTCTGCCATCTTTTGTATGTCTTCTTGGGTAAAACCATGCACATTCCTAGCAGCACAACCCTATAATTCCAAATAAAAATCAAAACAAATTAAAAATATATGAAATGTTAATTTTGGATAATTCATTCAAACAATAATTGTCACAGTTACCAATTTCTTTGATTTGAGAATGAGACAATCAAATGCAGTAGAGCAATTTCAACATTCAGAAGCTACATGTTTCATTATAAAGACCAGCTATTTCTGATGTCCCATCGTTTTGTGGCCATACATCTATGGCTGGTTTAGTGAAATTAGTACAAATGTGTTAGAACCCTT